GTTAAATATAAGTTTAAAATACATAAGCTTATACATAAATTATTAAAGAATTGTGAAAAATTTAAAATTGAATTCAAAATTTCTAATTAAAAATAATAAAACATTGTAATTGAATTTCATTTAATCTTAAGACCTCACTTTATTTTATTGATGAAGAAGAAAATATTAAAGCTTGTTATCATCGCGTACAAATATAGTTATGAATTCAGAACTAGAGCGAGCGATTTCAAGCATTACCCGGTTGGATTACTCGCTATTGACGTATCCCAGCGTATTTCAGGTATGACTCCTCGATTATCTACCTTGAAAGAAGATACCGAAAACAAGAAATCTTGATCATGTCGGACAGTTATTCTGTCATCAGAGCCCTGAATTTATTTTCCGTATCCTTCTGGCTAGTGTGTAGCTGTCTTGAGAAGCTTAACAAATCGGGTAGATGCAACCGAGTGACACTGTAATGAGTGCCTGGACATGTGACACTTCTTCTTGGCCCGGAGCCCTTCTGCGGAATCGGACCAAATACTGTTCATTTGGAGCTAAGAAAAGAATCAGAAAGAACTCGGCCGGAGCACTGAAAAAATCTTTCGGGTCTGCGGCAGGCCAAGAAACTTTTAGGAGATTATGACTAGAAACGAATTACTTTTACATTCGTTCAAATAGTTTCATGCAACTGAATGATAAAAATGCAGTAAACAGATGTTGTAATAGGATCAACGTGTGACCAATTTTTGTGAATAATTGTGTTGTGTTATTCCCAGACAAAGAAATTTCAAAGAAAAATGGAACATTCTCTTTTGGAGAAGAATCCCATATGATATATGGAAAATTTTTTATGAAAACTGCTTTGAGTCGTCGTAAAAGAAACATTCCAACAAACTATTTGACAAGGGGAAACTGGTGGATAGATTTTCGGTTGGCATATAGAAAATTCCAAAACTAATCGATTCCATTACGACCATCGCTCCAATATTACGCTTATTTCCATATGAATTGTCTACTTTTCTGCCTCGTATTTATACAAAACAATAAATTGCAAAAGTCACAAATACCACTATTTCGCATGTTAAACTTCAATTTTAATTGCTAATGCAGGTGATTCTCATTTTTGAATTTTAATTGCATTTTTTTAATGTACAACTGATTTTTTATGAAGAATTATATTTAATATAAGAACGTTTTACTTAATGTAACAAATAAAGCCATTTTTCAGATGATGCTTGCACTGGTTACTGCAGATTCAATTATTCTTATATGCAGATTAGCTTAGCTAACTACCTCTTTATTGAGTTTTTCTTTTACAGAACACAAAATTGAATTTGAAAAGCAATAGTTTCATAAAATCCCATTAATTTCCTGCACATTTATTGCGAACTAGGTTAGGAAAACTTTTGATGACTAATTAAAAATGAAACATAGTTGACATTTTTCTGTTTATAAATTCTAAGACCAATTACAAAAATAATTAACGTCAATTTTAACTAAATTCGTTTTAAAAATTTTTTAAATTGAAACCACAAAAACCCTTTTCGTTAAAATGTCAAAATTGACAATTTCTCATTTATGTTAATTATTTCTTTGTTATCATAAACTTTCTCCACATAATTATCGCAAATAACGCTACACTCAAAAAAAAAAATTAATTTGCAAATTATCAACCCTAAATGACAGTTTTATTAAATTTCATTATTCTTGTAAATCATATTCCATAGATAAAATAATTAAATATAGAAAAGAAATATTTTTTGAAAGCTTAACATTTTCATTTTCTTTCTCTCAAAAGACATTAGTTTTTAGTTTAACAATATTATAACAGTAATAATAATTATTAAACATCAACCCATATCTATCTTGATAATTTGTTAATTTTATCTTTTTTAAATGAAACAAAAGCGAACTTTCAAAGATTCCCATATTGTGTGTCATCACTAACCAAAAAAAAAAAAATAAGAAAAAAAAATAGAAAGTATTTTTTTATTATTTAAGAATAAAAATGAAAATAAAAAACAACTTTTATTTTTTAACAAAAATATTGTTGCCTTTTGGTAAAATTTTAATTGTACAAGTAATTTTTTTTTTTCGGAGCTAATGAATAAAATTATTAATATTTATGACATTAATAACAAAAAAAAAAAAATTGAGAAAAATTTTAATATCTAGAGGTTTGAAAATTCCAATCAAGTAAAGAAAGCAACAAATAAAAACTGTGATGATCAAATATGGAATATTTTTATTATGGAAAATTGTGGCACAATATTGAAATTCTTTAAAACTATTTTTATATCATCTAAATTTAATTTTATAATTAAATAATTTCCACCATCACAATTTAGAAAGGAAATTTTAAGGCGGGAAATTTTACAATTGCAATAAATTTTTGAAATTTTTTTAATAATAAATCTAAGATTAAGATAATTACAGAACTCAATCAACTTATGCATGTATTCTTATATTTAACTGTTTAAGTTGGTCTTATATTATAATTTATTTTAGTAAAAAAGAAATCAAAACAGGTCTTGTAACAATGTAGATCAGAGAACCGTCTAGAATCCAAACTATTGGAGAGTACAGTCGTAGATACCACAAAATCGTTCTTGATGTTTAGAATGTTGGCTACATTAGTGGTGAAAACTGCGGCCGGACAGAATACGATATGCATCTTTACGATATATCGACAGAATACGATATTAAATAGAAAAATTTTATAATATGGGTTTGACAGTTGAATATCGAATATTCTTTCTTCAAAAAGTTGTCAACATACACCTGTATAGTACAATATTGTAACAAGGAATACTTTGCATGCAGCATTCACAATTTATTTCACATTTAAGAATTTTGAATTTGAAAGTTTTCAACTTGAAATTTTCAAATAAAAAGAAAATTCGAAATTCGACAGTTTTAATTTGCAGCAAATAATCATAAATTTTATTTTACATATGCTGTACGTTTGCAGCATTTCCTTTAAATTATTTCTATATTGTACGTACAACTTTTTGATACTAATTTTATTTGAGAGATAAATTATTATTTGAGCAGAATGTAGTGATATCCTGCATTTCACCTTGAACCCTAAGCAGAAGTACAGGGTTGGGGGAGGAAAACACTATAGTTTTATTCGACTGTAGTCTAAAAATTTTTATAAATACAAAATTATTTTCCAAAATTTCTTTCTTAAACTTTATAATTTAATTTTCATTTTCGCTTAATTCTTCTTAAAAATATTTAAATATCAAATAATAATATTCATCTTTTCCATTTTGTTTTTTGTTTTTAAAACAATTAAGAAAAATGTTTACACGTTAACTAGATTTTACGTTAGTTTATATTTCATTGGTAAATTACCATTGTTATGCATTCCATTCAAGTTAATTGGATACCGCTGCAACTGTTACTTGATCTTCGATATCGAATAACGCTTTTTATTTATTTTTTTTTTTAATTTTTCTATTTACTTCTTGTTTTGTATATTAAATTTCACGAAAACAAATCAAAGATGTAGTGAAAAAATTAAGAAAAAAATCTGAGTTGAAAAATATTAAATTTGCTCTTTAAAAACTCAAAATAATAGAGAAAATAGAGAATAAATAATTAAAGTAGAATACTAACGTCACTAACGATAAAAAAAATATTAAAAAATTTTTTAAATTCTCTTTATAAATATTTAGAATGGTGAAATAAATAAAAAAATTTATCGTGTTTTTGGTGAATTTTTTTTTTTTCATATAAAAATTTCCCCAACTATAAAACAACCACCCACGCAACAATGCCGTTTACTTAATTTGAAATGCATTTTGACATGATGAAAAGAATATTGAACTCTAAAATTACCGTTCATTGAACTTGTTTTTATCTTTTTATCTCTCTTTCATTCTTTCTCTCTTTATATATTTTCTTTTTTTAACCTATTCTTTCTCTTTAACTTTTTTTTGTGTTTCATTTCCATTTTTTAGAACGAAACTTTGAAAATATTAAAATTTTTGTTTTTCTTCGTTAACTTTATAATAAGAGAATAATAAATTTTATTCCCCACATTTTTTTAATAAGATTTGAGATCTCTGTGATACGGAAACGGAGATAATAAATAATAAGGTAATTGTAGTAAAATAATTATTGTTGGCAGAATTAGAAGACTTAAAATCATTTCTCAATTCTCATTGAGAATGAGAATTATAAAAGAAAGTTTATGGTGTGGTGAATTTTCTCACATAAACTTATTGGTGGGATTATTATCCATATACAATACTATTTACTAAATATGGTTAGTGTCACGATCAATGCCATGGTCAAGTTTAAAAAATATTTTACTCTTGGCGGTGCACGTTAAACTCAAGTATTATAACTGAATAATATATGAGTTCACATGAGATTTTATGGAAAAAATTTTTTTTTCTTTTTATTTTTCTTTGTACATATTTCTTTTCGCTATTCTGTTGTTTTACCTTTTGGTATTTTTATGGTAATGATGAATAATAAAAAAACAGAATCAATGACTTTTTTTTTGGAGTTGCAAGAGATTTTCTCTTTGCGGCTTTTTCATATTTTTATATAGGGAAATTCTTATCACCTGTTCGTATTTTTCATAAATTTTGTGTTGATTTTTAAGTTTTATTAATTCTTGTTTTCTTGGTTTTCATCATTTGAGAGAATGTTGCATTATTTTGGATTTCATCGTATAATTTTTGGTATGATTTTAATGGTGAATTTATGTATGGTAAATTAATTATTGTAAAAATTAAAGTTGAAGAAAAAAATTCATCTCGGAAATTTAGAAATTTTTCATCTTAAAGGTGGCTGAATTTTTTTGAAATTTTTCTGTCTTTGTTGAAACTATAGAATACTATAAGCATAAAAGCATGAAACATTTGGAATTGAGAAGATATTCGTAAAAATTTGTCTCAGAAATCGAATTAAAACAAGTAGAAAAAGAAAAGTTCGGTATACATACAAACGTACAAAATAAAACCGAAAAAGAAGTTAAAGAAAGTTACTTACCATAAGAAATGAGTAAAGTAAAAGAAGAAAATAAAAGAACAACAAAAAAAAAAAGAAATAAAATAAAAAAAAATTAAATTTGTACTGTCTTGCATAGAAAATTGGAATATGGAATATACGCTCTCATGATGACAATAATGATGATGCTGATATTGATGATCGTAAAAACGATGATGACTATGGTAGGTAATATAACAGAAATATCGAAAATGTATGTTTGTCTCTCTGTAAATTTTACAGTACACCGCAATTTTTTCGTTTTTCCTTTTTTATTTTACTTCTTAAGTTTCTTAAAGTTTTTTTTTTTTTTGTACTGAAAAGAAGAAAATAAAATATTTTAAACTTATATAACAACTGATTACCTTCAAATATGCTTTAGTTCTTCGGCGACCTTACCACGGTCAAGTTCGTTTCTTTCTAAACGTATATATGATAATTTAATAAAAAAAAAACAAAAAATACCAGAGTGTAAAATTAATTTTTTTTGCTTCAAGGAAGTTATTTAAATATTTTAATAAATATAAAAAAAAAATACTGACCAAGGATTTAAAAAATAATTAAAAAAATAAAATTATCCTTGTGCCTTTTAACTTTGTCTATCTGCTCTAAAAATATTAAGATAATACACACGGAATTCTCGGGATTTTTAATTATTTTTCTGAAAAAAATAAAAAAAAATAAGAGAATAATAAAATTATTTTGGATAATTAAAGAAAATTTTTGAAAAAAAAAAAATAAAATTAATTCAAGGACATTTAGTGTCGAAGAAGAAATTTTTGAAATAATTAACAATATTTACCAATTTTTGGAATTATATTTATTAACAGAATACAAAGAAAAAAAAGGAAAAAAATTAAAATTTAATTAATTTTTTGGTGAATTGAAAATTAAAGAAAAATATTTTTTTAAAGAAATTATTAAAAACGGAAATTTCTTGTGCATCCAGAGTGATTTTTTATATACAAGAATTTTTATTTGCAAAATTAGTGAAAAAAGTTTCAGTGAAATTTTACAAGTAAGTCAAAAAATTCAATAATAATTTTTTTTTTCTAAAATTATAAATTTAAAATTAAATTTTTTTTTATTAAAGTAATTATAAAAAATCTCTTGATATTTTTGGTTTTACTAATTGGAAGAGCTATACATGATAATATTCGGATTTATAAATTCGTTTTATATTATATGATTACTAAGCCACTGTAAAAGAATTTACTAAACCAAATTAACTAAATGAAATTAATGGACAGTAATTCCAAAAATTATTTTTGATTTTATCAGGATTTCATACAAAGGACTTGAATATTTAATCTGGATTTTATAATACAATATTCTTGAATCAGATCTCGCCCATTTAGTTATTTTCAATATTCATTGAATTATTTGTTTTAGAATTAATGATAGATCTCATATATCTAATTATTATACCTATCGGATTATTGTTGAAAATAATTAATTAACAACAAATTATATAGATATAATTAGGTATCAATTATTGATGGTTTTAAAATAATTTTAAAATTGATCTTCAGAAAAAAAAATTTAAGAATTTCGCACTATTCGAAAATATTCGTGAATTGTTCACGTGAACTGAATTTGTTGTAAGCAAATTAAATATTTTTAAAAATTAAAATATTGCATCATTGAAAATTTATGGAATTTTACGATATTCTGCGGAAATTATTAAAAAGTATAAGAAAAAAATTTTCTCTTTTTATAAATTGTTTAAAATTAGTTAAATTTTTAAAACTTTACCGAATCGTAGGTTTTATAAGGCTTTTTATTGAAATATTTAGAAGAAATTTTTTAAATTTATTATTTCACAATTTATTAAAATTCATAAGTTTAATAGAACTACTTAACTTTTATTTTTATAATCCAATTTTTTTAAATTATTATTCTGAAAAACCTAAAATTTTAAAATTATAGTAGATTATTTCTTGGGCTTCTTAAAATTTATTTAATTTAACAATTTTACATTTATAAATTTCTTTAAGAATTTAAGACCAACAATCATTATTCTACTATCATATTTTTTGCTTAAAATCAGTAAAAATCTAGTAGTCATATCTAAAGCTTACAGCACCCAATATTGTATATGAAATTAGAAATTTTTGATTATTAATAGCTCATTCTCTCAATTGTTGGTAATAATTGTAAAAAATAATTTCAAATTTTTATTAAATTAAAAATATTTCAAAAAACTTTCCCAATATGAGAATGTTAAAAATATGTGAGGCTCAATAAAATGAATATTTTAATTGAAAATTTTTTCTAATCCACCGAATGTACCCACCGTACCGTACCTATTTATGTAAATTTTTTAATTTATTACCCCATCAAAATTAAAATGAAAGCTTCCTTAATTAAATGACAACTACGAAAAGGAAAAAAAATAAATGTTTATGTGTAATTTTCAAATTACTGTAATTAAAATGTTACACAACAAATTCATTTTTACACTATCATTGAAAATTTTTTTTCCTTCATACATAGAAAAAAAAAATTTTATGAATTCAACAAGACAAGATTTTTAAATAATTTTAATAAAGCGACGCTGTACAAACGTTCCTTACTTTTATTCATCTACAATTATAAAATAATCTCTTCGTCTAAAAATTTTCGGAAGAAAAAGTGAAATATTCAAATTAAAATTCAAATCGTTTAGTAAAAAAAAAATCATCGTAAATCATTTGGATTTTTGTCTATTTTTTTTTGAATTTTCAAGTCAATGGCATTAATCTACCTTTTCAAAGTGAATTTAATGGATGGTGACAAAATCATATAGCTACTAATATTTTTTTTATTGTCATAATAATCTGTTTTTTATTGTTCTCGTTCTTGAAAACTCATAGACATTCCACCAAATTTAATTTTTTTCTTATAAGATTTTTAACCTTTACACTATGCGCTTTTATTCATTCATCACAAATTTACTATAGCTCTATAGCATTTATTTTAATTGTTTAACATTAAAAATGTCTTTTAATTCTATTATGTTATGGGGCGGGCGTAATATCGGTGATTCCCAAAAAAATTTAGAGAAGAATAAAATTAAAGAATAAATTTAAATACCATTCTCATCATAATTTTCATTAACTAAATAATTTCTCTTTTTTCTACTTTTATATTAGTCACTTAATTTAATAATGATTATATAAGTGTATACATATACAAACTTTAATATCATCATTAAAAAAAAATGATAATTTATGGTGCCCGTTGTGTACACTTTTAATTTTTAAAGAGACGAGATGATATGATGGTGTACATTTGACCAATTTGTTGTAAAGAATTTTATTGCGAGTTTTATTATAATTATTTTTCCTTCTTTTTTGTTATTTTATTGTAATTATACTATATGATTTTGATTTTTTTACATAATCCTATAATTGCATGCATTTACCAGGTTGTTTTTAATTATTCAAATATTTAATTCTTAATTTTATGCTGTGAGAATATGAAGAATATTGTGGTTTTTTGGGTGGTATACAATAATAAATCTTTTTTTTTATTTTGATCGCCCAACGTTGAAATCGTCTAGAATAATTGTCCAGAAAATTGTAACGATTATTTTTTTGTGTTTGTTTTGTAATTAAAATTATTATTTAAAGAATTTTAATATAGAGAATTTGTTAATTTTAAAACACACAATTAAGAAGAAGAAAGCAGTAAGTCAGAAACTGTGTTTTTAATAAATTCAATTTGAAGAAATCGTAAAAACGTAAAGGTAATCAATTATAGTGCAATTGGATTGGCATCTATAATTTCTAAACAGTATTCTAGACTTGTATGATTTTTTGTAACAAAAAAGATTATGTTTTTCTGACTTAATTCATATGTATAACTGGAAGTCTCAAAAAATGCACTTAATGCTCTCTGCTTATTAACCGACAATATACTAATGGGAAAATGGAGATTCATCATTTCTGCAAGAATTATTAAGTAACGTACGACGGTATGTGAAAACATTTTAAATGAAATTATGAAAAAGTAGGTTCTTGTGATAAGCTCATGGTGTAGTTCTGTCTAAAAATTGACTGTCGAAAGTCGACTATAGAAAATCTATAATAATTGTGTATGATTACGCAAAAGCAATTTCTGCTACGAATGATGAAATTTTTTTAATTTTTTTCGTATTTTTATTGAAGTAGTTGTTTCTTGTATAGTTCTTGGAACGTTAATCAAATTGATTCCCTCAATATTATTCGCTCAAATAATTTTTAAATTTTTGGAAAAATGCAAAAGATTTGGAATATCTAGAGTTATGAATTAAAAATTTGTGTTTAGAAAAATTTTCATCAGCATAATTGTGGAAGGCTGCTATATACGGCCATGATATCCTTTAAAGTAACAATAATATCACAAAACTTGTAACACATTAGTGGCCTTATAAATGTACTACTTACTCCAATCTGATTACAAAAGTGATATATTAAATTAATTATATTAAATTAAGTAATGTGATTGTAGAACACATTACTTAATTTAATATAATTCTTACAATTATGCATAATTTTATATCCAACTTAAATTATAAATACCAAAGCAAATTCAAGTATTTGTTGGAGAACTAGATTCTTTAAATAAACAAATTACCTTAGATTTATCCTTACAATGTAAAAATCAACTACTTTCAAAGTTGCAATAGATATAAAAAAAATTTAATTATAATTATCGAATATTACCACATTCTAGTCAATTAAAATGAAAACAAAATCGATATTCGAAAATGTAAATTATTATTCTAATTAATTCGCAAGCACAGTTTTGTATTTTTAAACTTGTTGCATCTTAAAACAGATTTGAAAACTTGTCCTTTACTTAATACTTAGTTATCTATACCAAAATCAATAATTAATACGCAACTAAGCTTATAAAACATTTTCTATATTTAATTACTATTCTTGTTATCCAACTTGCAAAACAAATTTAAGCCAGATTAAAAAATACTTTAGAAAACAAAAAAAAAATTTCAATTGCAATATTATTTAAATTAAACTACACACACATTATCTAAGTATGCATAATTTAAATATTGTGCACATGTAAGTGAAAATACTTGTTAATCTAGTTGATTTTAATAAATAATATTATAAAATCCTATATAAATGTTGTGTTCTATACAATATTGAAGATGCTTTCTTTAAAATATTTTATTTTAAAAGAAATAAAACTGGAAATTTTTT